CCCCAAAAAAAATGTTGGTGTTTTTTGGTTGTTTTTTTAAATACACCCACAGTGCCGTGGAGTCAAGCGTCATCTTAGACAAGTGATCCTATTGTGCCCTGCCATTGTGAAATAGAAGGGGAAAAGACCCAAGGGGGAAGTGGGAAGTGGGCCCGGGTGCAGATGTGATTGTCTTGGACAGGTTGTCCTTAGTAAGGGTTCGATTGAAGCTTAATTTTTTTTTCATCCAACACTCTTAGAGCCTTTAATTCAATACTTCTTTATCCCTTGGAAACTAGGTTTAATATTATTATAATTTCCCCCAAAAAATTAGTGCCATTTTTGTAAGATGTGTGTGCAGATTAGAAATATGTAATTCGTTCATAGAAAGAGCATGGATAGTTTTTGAGTTTATAGCTTTTGAAAATGGTCCTTTAGATAGTCTGGTTTCACTCTAATTTGCCATTTCTATGATTATGTAACTAATAATGATTCCCAAAAACTGAACATTTTAAATCCTTAAATGGAATACTTTGAGAAAATTAGAAGCAGAAAAAAAATTCAAGTAAAAATCACTTTCTTGTAGATTTTGGTGCAAGAGGTAGAATGTAGTCTTAAAATGCTCGTGTGTTGATGCTGACCAAGTCCTACCTTAATCAACTCATCATCCATACAGCAGATCGCGCTGCCTCAGCTGACCGCTCGCTGCAAGGAACAAGAAACAAACAATAATACGTCGTTAGGTCCATATTGAACGTTTTCTTATATTATTGCTGTTGCTGTTGCTGTTGCTGTTGTTGTTGTTGTTGTTGTTGTTGTTGTTGTTGTTGTTGTTGTTGTTGTTGTTGTTGTTGTTGTTGAGTAAAGATAAGCACATGGACACATTAGTGGTCATTTATTGTGCTGTGAAAAGGTAAGAACGACAAACTGCGCCAACAGAGGGAAGGTAAAGATGTAGTACCTACTCGTACCAGTTGCGCCCTCCAACGACTCGCGTCTTTAAAAAAAAATAGAACAAAATGTTTGCAATCAAAGTGACGAGGTACTGTACTGAAATTGTTCTATGTAGTAGGGACGCAATGTAACCAAACACCCCATCATAATTCGCCTCTTTCATCCTGGTATTGGGTATAATATGCATCGAAAACTGGCTCTCCACGTTTCTCAAAACTGCCGAGGGAGATCTTCTCCACCTCTCGTGAGCTACGCCGCGTATGCCTGAACACTGCCACCGGTATTTGGATTTGGTTTGTCGGGGATTGTGTGT